TGTTTTAAGTAATTTTTACATTTTTTCAGCCATAAAATTTACTTGCATAAGTTTTCAATTAGTGAATATGTGCCTTATCAACTGAGCTTTTCGAAACTTCGGTGTTATAGCTACCAATCTTTCTTCTTTCTAGCTTGAATGGCAAAAACTGGAACCGTGCAACAGTAACTGGAACTGGAATTGCTATTCTAACTGCCCAGTTACGAGTGACTGCACTTGGGAAACAATTAAAGCGAACTGGGGTTAAAAATAAACACACTCTAAAAACAAAATAACCTGAAACCAGATGTTGTCGTGGGGAACTGTCAATATGGAGACTGAATAGAGAAGTTCAGAGTATTGGATGTTAATTGCGTTGGTAAACATTCAAACAGGTGAATGAGTAATGCGGAAAAATCCCCGGAATCGGTACCTCTTGGGTGGTGACCCAGATTGTCTAGACCCTGTGCTACACCTGTTTCAAATGTTTTCATATTTTTGTGAAATACTTATCAAGTTTTGTTATTATAGGTATATTTGCCATCTGGTTTTAATTTAATTTGATGAAAATCTAATTTGCTTTCATGATAAAGAGATATTTAAATTTTTAATTTTTAAAGAGTCATTCTTATATATAATACTTACTTCCACAGGATCTTCCAGAAGCAGCCAAAGCTGCTTCCATTTGGCACTTCTCCCGCATATGAGACGGTCATTGTTTGTTGATGTCTCTCGTTTTTGACTTAGTTTTTTTTACGCTGATCTTGTTTTGTTTACTTAATCACAAACAATTGATTTTTATTGTTATTTTTGCCGGCGCTAGGCCGCTGCCAATACGGAGAAGGCCGAATTGTAGTTGTTTTTTGATTTCGTACGCGAATTTTGTTAATTGTTTTTGTTGCCGCGTCATTGAAAAAGCGTCGCCGTCGGCTGCTTTCCCTCTCTCTCACACCCCCGCCGCTTAGGCTGCGACTCCCTGTGCTTCTCGCTCTCTCCAAGCCTCAGGTTTTTTAACTTCTCCTAAAAAATAATCAGAAATATACAGTCGTACTACTTAAAAAATGTAATTTAAGAAGGTATTTATCAAGTTAATTTGGAATCATATTTCCTGAAGTGATTGATATTGATTGTTTTTTTTAATGATCCCTTATAATATATCATAATTTTTACAAATAGCTCTTAATTTTCAAGTAATACTACTTCCAAATACTATATAAATCCTAAATTTAATGTTTTGAAAATGATCATAAACAGTTGAATTTAAATATAAAACTCTCCAATGGATTACATTTCTTTAGAGCATTGTATTGTTTTTTAATATATTGAGTAAACACTTTTTGTATTCTCATTCAACAAAATTATAACTGAGAACAATGGTATATCATTTTTTCGAGGCTTGACTGTATCCCCAACAATAGGAGGCAGGAGGTGGGCGGTAACATGCGCCCAGTAAAACTGTAAAGAGTAATACACATGCAATCCATGCAAATAATACTGGAGGGCTCAAAAGCTCAACTTAAATTCCGGCACGTATCGAACAGTATTTCTCTGGTGTTTCTGTTGTTGCTGCTGTTTTCCATTTTGTTATTTTGTATTTATTGTAAATTTGAATGGCTATGCACTTTCAGTTCGGGTGAAATGCGTATTTAAAGCTGAGAACAGAGTTATGGCCATATATAATAATTTGTCACTATTTCTGTGTATATATACATTATTTAAGATAATTATTTTTTTCACTTCACTTTATTACGATCACCTTGTACACACAATTATTGCGGGCTCCCTTTGGGGGTCTTTTGTTTTTTTTTAAGTACTTAAAGATCATTTTGCGGCCAGGATTTCCCCAAAACTGAGGGCTCTCCTCGAAGGCAAGGTATCCGGACGACTTGAGATCGGGATTTTTGGACTTTTGTTTATTTTTTTTTCATCAGAAAACCTTGGGCTGGGCAAAAATTCGGCAGTTTCTCTCTGAATTTTTTTGCGGGTGCCTAATTTGCGCCGTCAGCGCCACGAGTCTTTATCGTTTCCCGTTTTCTGTTGATTCGGCTCTTGATTAATTCCGTTTATGTTGCGTTTCTCCGAAGCGATTTTGATTAATCGAACAATTGGCGATCACAGATTTTTCGAAAAAGTGTTTTCATCTTGGGCCTGCAAATGCGAATATTTTAAACCAGTTGTATTTGCTCCTTAGCGCTAGTCGAAGCTGCAAATATTTGCATAAGCCATAACCAGACAGGGGCAACAGAACGGGTTCTATATATGGGGCTTAGAGTTATACAGATTCCCGGGACAGGGGACTCCGGCAATTTTCACTTTAGCGCGTTAATTTCGTTTACAAACAAAGCAGGTGATCTTCAGGAATGTAAGAGCCAACCGGTTGTGAGCAGGGGTCTAGGCCACGTTAAGTCACGATGGCTTTTGATTATACGGCTAGAGAAACCACCCACTGCCACTGGGCTGCGGCTTCCAAAGAACTTTTCGATTGTTTAGCGGATGAAAAACAATTAAAGATGGTCGTGCCTAGCAGATTAGTTACTTAAAACTGGCTGACGGCTGAAAGTTTCGCAATCTACATGTTCTTTGGAGACAAATAGTAGTCATTGACCCTGCCCGGAGATTTAATCTCAACTGTCCAGCTCTGTGGTAATATATTTTCAGAACAAATAGCCTGTCAACATGCGCTGGAGATATGAGGAGCTGCAGCTTCTCGGGTAAACACATTGCGTATACGCGATATGAGGTAAACCACACATAAGAGTCGACATTGATTGGTGACGAATTCGGTTCGAATAATTTTCACTTTCTTCTGACGTATTTGCCCCGCAATTTGTTTACCAATGAGTCGAGGTACTGACACTCTCGAATTCGCCTGCCACTTGCACTTTTTCCGGCGGCAGCCGTTCCCAGAATTAACTACTTGAAAGGTGGGAGTTTTCGGGCCTCATTAGCACACAATAAAGCAGATATATCTAGGCATTAAGCCGATTTCTGTTAGCATTGTTAGCGTTCCCTATAAACTCATTAAGTATTATTGAAGCGATTTAAACAGCACTTTTGAGGAAAAATTAACGTGTTTGTTAAGGTATTAAAAACTTATCACCATTGATCTTTTGCCGAGGATTTCGAATATATATATAGCTTTTCATTAATTTACATTGATTTATTGCCAGCACTTTTATGATGGCTTATAACTTTAATTTATTCGCTAATACATCAAATACATTTCATTTATCATTCGTGTGCGGATTATACAACCAAGCACCATCAATTACTTTATTACTCCGCTATTTATAGTATTTTCTGTGTATACATATAGGTATATACATCTTTCTAATTGCTCTTCGCTCATTAAGCTTATTCAATTGAAAAATTGCATCCGAATTCGGACTTGCCGCGCATTCAGTCAATAGAATGCCGACTGGACACCTCAGTGGATCGGGGGATCGAAAAAACATAAATAAAAGTAAACTTGACCAGTTGGGAGCTGGAAGCTTAGTTTACGGAGCCGCCTAGGCCATTTAAAGCTGGAGACACGCGCTGGCGTGCGACGCGTTTACGATTTCAGATACTCAGATAGAGATACGGATACTCAAGCCATTGGATACGTGAATCTAATGGGTGGCGCTGTTTATCCAGATCATATGAGTATGGTTTTTTATGCACTATATATGTACTCTAATGGGGGGTCCCTTTAATTTCGTTACACTTTACACACTCTAATGTTTACAAGTACTCAAAAAACAGCAGCAGCAACAAAAATCGACGTTTTTGTGTTCAAAATTTCAGTTGTTTTGTGAAATATTCGAATGCTGGCTTCAATGGGGTTCCGCACGATCAACTGGCGAGTGTTTCAGCTCAGCTCAGTTCAGCCCAGTTAATTTTGCTCCACGTACCGACAGCGCGACGACGGGTTTATCGCTGGACACTTCAAGCTGGAGCTGCAACTGCGATTGCGATGCCGACCGCCGAGCAACCTGACCGCTCGACAAACTCAACCAAACTGCGCTCTAGAGTTGGTCGCGAGCGGCTCTTAACTCACTTTTTTCCAGCCCGCACGAAAAAGTTTAGTTGGCAACAGGTAGACGAGGCAACAGCGAGCGGATCCCACAGAATACTGGGTGCATATACATATTGGTGAAGACAAAGGTGTAGAAAGAGGCTAAGGGGGGCTTAAAAACTGGCTATCCTGAGTTCCAGAATTTTATTAAATTTTGTTGGATTAATATTGGAATAAATATAAATTGTCAAAAAATGCGTGAATAGTTTTAAGAAAATTTATACTTCATGTGGGTACTTGTAGAAAAGGTGTACGACTTTGGAAATATAATAATTAAATAGATAACTTTATTGGAGTATCATGTTATATCTTATATATATTTGCATGCCTTTATAATATTCCAAATGTTGGTACTAATACTAAAGAATTTCGGAGAGAACCTTAATGCAACTGATTCTTAATTCCAGGGTCTTCGATTCTTGGTTATAAAGACAAATTAACCTAATAAGTTATTATTATTATTATACTTAATTCACAACAATATTCAATGTTTTACTTTAAGGCACCCCTGTTTATCTACGCCCCTGAAACTGCAGAGAATCTGTAGCCCCTCTATTTAAGGTACTCTCTTTCAAATGTGTGGCTGAGAGCCGCTTCCGATGAGGTTAATCAGCTGTTTCGTTTTGGCTTTAAGCCACAGATCAGCAGAGACAAAGAGAAGTTTTTCAGAAACAAAGGGAGCGGGATTCTCAAAGAGATCATTTCAGATCAGCGTTGCAGGAAAACTATAAAAGGTATCCGCAACTGCAATTATTAATTACCATGATACATTTTTATTACCATATTTAAATTGGCAAATAAACTTGGCAATTATAAAAAATTAAATAAATGTAATTAATTAAACGCTTTAGTTCTGTGGAGCTATCTAATTTTAACTGTCTGGCAACTCTGCATCTGAACAATTTGGAATAAGAAGCATACTTGTAGGCTTATATAGAGAAATAAGAATATACACCTTTACCTTATAAAAATAAATTTTAATAATTTAACTATCCAACTAAAAAACAGATACACTTCGTACAACTAAAACTAAAACTTAAGAGGTTTTTCTATCAGCTGGTTTCTCAGGACGTCTCGCCTTATAGCGCAGTCCATGTTCCATGTAGGTGAATGGAGGGTTCGGTTGGGTCAGACAAAAGTACAGACCCTTGGCATTGGCTGGATAGATAAGACCAATGTTGATGGTGTTCTTGAAATTACAGTCGCCCTGCCGGAACTTGGCCCAACTTTCGCACTTGGTAGCTGGGATCATGACACCCTCGATGAGAGCCTATGGACATGTTTTAAAAAAATAAATTAAAATGTTTCGGTTGCCTAACGAATCCTTACCTCCATGAATAGAACAAATGGATACATGTGACTACAGATCTTGGACTCGCAGCCAGGTTGAAGTTTCCTTCTCGGGAAGTAGCCTATACCATTGGGATAGATATCGATGTGACCCAGCGGAACCCTCACCCCGAAAACATCCCCCTCGCCATGCAGAACCACCACCCTAGAGGCCACACTTTGCTTTACCAGTATATCGGTGGTTTGGCACATGGTGGCCGGATCGATGGCAATCAGTTGACCCACCAACTGTTTGTTTTCCCGGGCAAAAAGTTGGGCACCCAATGCGGCTATATTCGCACCCACCGAGTGTCCTGCCAGAGTAATATCCTGCATAGCAATGCCCGCATCCTTAAGAGCCCTCACAAGTTTATACACGAAATATCCATCAACGGACAGATGGTGACGCACTGCATAGTACAGTTGAGCCACATCCTTGGCGAAATCCACCACTATAACATTGAGATCCCTTCTGCTGTTCTGCAGCAGGGTCAAGTGCTCCTGGACACTGAAATAGCTGTCGGCCGTGTGGAAGGCATTCACATAGATGAGGGTCTTACGCTCCGGACTGATATCGAAATCCTTGATTTGAGATATTGACTTGATGGGCAGCTCTACACTCTGATTGGTGATGGTCATCACATGGATTCGGGCATCGCTGGGATTTATGCCCTGAAATAGGGACATGACACCCTCGTCCACAGGGGCATCACCTAATCAGGATATTATAATAATATTATCTTGATTACTAATTACAATTTCCACACTCACAGAATGCTCTCCAACCTCGATTCAGTTGCTCGGTTAGCAGCTTCAAATTATGCCCTTGAACACCGTCAATATTCAGCGGTATTTTAGCCTTATCCTTAAGCTCCACTGCCAAAGAATGACAGATCAGGCAGACTGCTATGATCATCTGGGCTGTGCTCTTCTGCATGGTGAATTCTGCTCTCATGTCTACCGTCCAACTTCAGAGCTCTTTTATAGTCAGGTCTTATCGGGCCAAAAGACTCGCTTAGCGAAACTCTCTTATCTGGTTGTGGGTTTCGATTTCGGTGTATCTTTTAGCTTGTTGCAGCACGTCTGCTGAAAGGGGGTTTTGTCTGGTCGATGTCTGCGATTCCGACCCAAAATCTTCAGCCCCAAAACTAAGTGGCGGTGCCAGATAAGCCCTTACTGATTGATTATCACCCCAAAAAACGATCGTGCCTCAATATGAAAATTCTTGCCAAAGTTTCCCCTGCAGCACTTCATTCACTTTTTTCCCCGTCAATTGATTAAGCTTTTAATCTCTGTTTTTTTATGGGTGCTCGATGACAACTAGGTGCTAAATATTTATTCATTAAAATGTATATTTCGACTAAATGAGTTTGGTTTAATTGCTTATATTGCAAGTATAGTTAGGGCTGTAAATTTGACTAGAACTCGTCTTGATTGACAAGCGATTCACAATTCAAAATTTACGCTAATGAGGTAGCGGCGGTTGTTGTCTGACTCTGATCCTTTTCCAAACGGAATTTTTCGAGAGTGGCCTTAATATTAGGTTCCTTAAGTGGTACAGTTGTGTTTGATGAAGATTCGCTAATCCAGGTTAAATAATTATAAGCAAAAAAATATGAAATCCAAAGAAGAACCCAAGATGAACCAAATAACAAGAGCGTTGCGGGTTAAACTTAAATTTTAAACAGTTTATTCGTGTGGGCACACAAAGGCTAATTCATAAAAATAATAAATAAAGTGAGAGGTGTACTAAAAATAAACATTGGTAGTCAGAAATACTTGATGCTCCGATCCGGGGCATTTCTTCACTGGCTTCTGCTCCCCCGCGGCTCCAAATTGGACTAAAATTAGCATTCCGCTCTGTTTGTGTTGTGTTTTGTTTTGGTTTGTGAATGGATCTGTTAGTGGGATGGTTTTCATTTAGAACTTGAGACCAGCCTGGACATCGGACATGATGTTGGCGGACTTCTGCAGCTGCTCGACCTCGGTGGGGGTGAGGATCTGCTTGACCACGGAGGTTACACCGTTGGCGTTCAGGATGCAGGGCAGCGAGAGGAACACATCCTTATCGATGCCGTGTTCTCCCTATAACATTTTGAAAAAATAAGTAATTAATAAGTATACTTGTTTATCATAATGTTATTTTTAAGAACTTACCAAAACGGAGGTGGAGACGGCGGCCACGCTGCTCGTGTTGCGCAAAATGGCCGAGGCCAAGGAGGCAGTGCTCAGGCCAATGGCCCAGGAGGTGTATCCCTTTAGCTTGATCACCTCGTAGGCGGAGTCCACCACCTGCTTGTGCAGCTCGTTCCACTTCTCAGGATCCTCACTGGTTCCCAGAGTTGGGTTCAATTCGCGCAGGCGCACTCCGGCGATGTTCACACCAGACCAAACAGGCACGGAGCTATCGCCGTGCTCTCCGATGATCCAGCCGTGGCAGGAGGTGGGTGCCACGTTCAGGCGCTGCGACATCAGGAAACGGAAGCGGGACGAGTCCAAGTTGGTGCCACTGCCAATCACACGGTTCTTGGGCAGACCCGACAGCTTCCAGGCCACGTAGGTCATGATGTCCACGGGGTTGGACACCATCAGCAAGATGGTATCGGGACTGTACTGTAAATGGAAACGAAAGCGTTAACTTAAGTTGTTTTAAGAATTCAAAGAGGTAGCTTAAAAAATCTCTAACTTAAATTTTTTTTATAATTTAATATCAAAAACAGTTGAATAACTAATATTTTGTTCATCATAACATTTTTCTCAGGTGTTCTTGAAGATTCTTTATCAGTTTGTCTAGGTAATAATCCTAAGAATTTTGATCTGTAACTTACCTCCACCAGCTTGGGGATGATGTTCTTGAGGATGTCGGTGTTGCGCTGCACCAGGGACAGACGGGACTCGCCCTCCTTTTGGCGAACTCCGGCGGTCACGATGCACAGACGCGAGTTGGCCGAGGCGGCGAAGTCGGTGCTGGCCGTGATCTGGGGGTTCTTCAGGAAGTTGGAGCCGTGCTGCAGATCCATCAGCTCGCCCTGCAGCTTGTCGCTGCAGACATCGATGAGGCACACCTCCTTGGAGACATTCTGAGCCAGAATGCTGAAGGCGCTGGCCATGCCCACCTGGCCGATGCCCACCACGGTGACCTTGTGCCCGGAGCTGGGCAGCACCTCGGCAACTTGGGCCAATAGACTTTCCTTAATGGTGGTCATTGCTAAGAAGTAAATAATAAAATGACCCTTTAATATTCCGTTAATATGTCAAGTGTATTCCCCTTGGGGGATTACCCATTTACAGTGCCTTCACGTGCCTATGATTTAGTTAAAACATTCACAATTTTTTTTTTGGGGGAAACTCTCTTCCCCACACAGACACAGACATACTGCTTAGCCGGCGTTCTTTAACCTTCACGAAGGTCGAATTAATGAGAAAAAAGCGACATCGCCACAACACGCAACCGGACCGAACCGAAAACATTGCCGAAAAAATTAACTTGTGATGTTTTTTGCTCTTTTATATAGCAATTCATAGAGCCAACTTGTGATGGCACATGACAATCGCTGTCAATTAGGGGCTTCTTCTTTCATATAGATAAATTCTAATTAGGCCCAAATGGAAGTTTTATCAATGCAAAAGTGCGAAACCTTGTGAAAATAATCCCCTGATTAAGCACTAATCCTTTTATTTCTGATTTGATGAACAGTCAGAGGGACCTCGAAACTTGGGCAGTTCTTATCTTATCGATAAAAGGTAAACCATTAGTGCAATTTGATTAATCCAATTATTGCAAGTTCCTGATTATTAATAATTTTACTAAAAATTACTGATGACTTTGGCATGCCATATACCATATCGATTCTAATCACCATGACGTAGAACTAGCCATATCTCTTATAGGAAGGGTTTTGGGGGCCAAAGTTGAGTTGGCTGCCAATGTTTGCAATATTATTTCAGATTAGATTGCTTTAGATTATAAGTGCATATTGAGAGTATTATCAGTGAGAAAATATTTATATAAACATGTGGCACGTTTTTAATTAGAATCTGCTTCAGGTTGAGTGTTTTCCTAACTTGAATTGCAACCGCATGAGTTCTAAAGAATATGGGTGGGGTTAGAAAAAAACCCGAGAGTTACGATGAGTTCCGCAGAGCCAAGTGATATACAAAAAGTCCGAGAAATGTCACAAATATGAAATAACTAGATAATGATTTATGGCTCAACGATCATGGTTTATTTTTATTGTCAGCTAGTATCTATATGAGTATTGCAAAAAAAATAGATTATTGTTTCTGTTTAACAGAGCGAATCATAAAAAATAGTGTATTTTTGAAAATATATGTATATTAAAGGAAATATTTTTTTAAATAAATTTATAGACATGAAACTAAATAGGAAATGCAAAAATTATCTTGCACCTATATGTAAACATTTATAAAACTTAAAGAAGTGAAAAATTTATAGATATTGGTTCACAAATTTTAATTTTAATTTTGATATTAATATTATTCATTCCCACTTGTTGCCATGGGAAAGTGTGCCTTACATTTGGGCCTACAGATGACCTTTCTCAAAGTCAAATGCGGTTGTTCCACTTTGTCGGGGGGTCCGACGTCACCCCGTCAAAAACGGGAAACCAGCTGTTTGTGACACGGCGCATGCTCTCAATGAAAACGAAAGTGAAAGCCAATTGTACGCCCAATTGACACCCCTGCCGCTTTTCGGAAAACCCCGGAAATTCCGCCCACCCCACTAACGGTGCAGGTGCGGAAGGCCAAGGGCGAGGTGTTTCGGAAACAACCGATGCACTTGACCCCTGAAAGTTGAATGCACTTTGATGAGGCAGGAAGTTAACCTTAGACCCTCGTAAACACTACTAAAATCTAAAAATCTCCCAAACTATTTTTCCTTGTGCATGCTAGTATTTTTGCTTACTTTTGGATTGGGTTTGTTTTAATTCACTTTGTGTATCACTGGATTATTTTGGGCCTCTGTATTTTGAGGTCGTCGACGTTCCGTTCACTTTGCGCGTTCGTTGCGAACTGTTTGCACTTCAAGCGGACTGCTTTGGAATTTAGCTGCCGCCGCTGGATTTTGTAGCCTCCGCAGCCGCATTTCTCTCACTACCTTTCTCGCTCTCTCCTTCAACGCCAGTACACTGGGAAAAAACTACCCTAAGTTCCTGCAAACCATTGCTGGAAACAATATCTGTTATCAAGGACCAAGACCCTGATTAGTGAGAAAAGTTATTTTTATGATAGTTGAAGAAATATTCAAATGTTTCAGAGATGCATATAAAACACTCCTTAATGAAGTGATAAAAGTTAAAATCATATTAGAAACTTAATATGTTTGTATAAAAATTAACTTTTTTATAATACCAATTCATTTTCACATTAAAGTTTAATGCAAAATTTTTTATTATTTTTTTAGTTTTGAAAAAAATATGTTTAAAGTCTTTTGTAGATGCACTAAATTTTGAACTCGAACCACAGTCTACCACTTTAAAAAAATTTTGTATTATTCAGTCTTTATAGTTATATAATAAAGCTCCTTTATATTGCTGACTGTAGTGTTCCTAAATTATAAAAAAGTGAAATTTTTCCGAGTGTAGGCAGCTGTTTTGGCCCTCTCTGCCGGCGTCGAAGCCGGCTGCGCCAGGATGAATGACGAAACAGCCTCTGAGGCGTTGTGAAAGTGAGCGAGCGTTGCTCTCTCTCGCTCTTTCGCTACCCATGGTTGTTGGTGTTGCGCTCTCCAGAGTTTTTGGCTCCATTCGGCCAAGTTATTCAAGGTGACCTTTGCTGGTTTTCCTTATATTTTCCATCTTTTTATAACCGACACGTTTTCGGGTTATTTTCCTGGACTTCGATTGTGGGGGCGGGGAAGTGGTGTTGTCGGATAATTCTTTATTTACAATTCCTTGTGGCATAAATTAGTTTTTGATCTAAAATTCGGAATTT